TTCTTGTAACTGCCAACACGCTCATGTACTTCTTCTTCTAAGTTGCATGGGCTTGAAGAAATTTGTGTTTTCTAATCTTCACAGAAAGGTGAAGACTTTTGTGGGGTCAGAGGTGAATCCATCTCTGCGACGCCGCTGCTACCAGTATGTTTGGAGATGTAATCTTCAAACACGCACACCATTGGACATGTTGAAAAGACTTGCCACTTTGGTGAAAGACAGCGACGACGACAACTGATGCAGGAAGAGTATAAAAACGCCAGGCGCCTCGCGCGCCCGCGACCTGGTAGTTACCCATGGCTCCGTGGAGTTTATCCATTGGCCTTCATGGTTGCTTCAACTAAGTACTGAGTGAATTTGAACTGCGGAGGATTATTTTGGCAGTCTACACCATTGGCAAGATGTATGCCGCAGGCGTGGAGACTCTAAGAAGCTGTTCCCATGCTCTTCCTTCAGGAGAACAGCAGGACATCTAGAGTTTGATCCAAAAACACTGCCGTGGAAGCTGTCGTTACAGTTGCATCAGTTGCATCAGCCTAAGGTCATCAGTGTACGTCCTTGACATGGGCAACACTCCTGGAAGCCTGTCGCTCGCAACCCCGAAGGCCGCAAGCTGCCTTGAGATCCCCCAGCTGTTTCAGAGCCACTGAGCCACTGTTGTTCCTTTTGTTGAGTCTTGGTCACTGTCACAGCATGCCACCAAAAATCACCAAATGCCCCCTGGATGAACTGCTGATCATTCAACCTCTGGAGGTCTGGCGAGGTGCATGCCTGTGGTGTGGGGCAATCTTGGGACTGGTACCTGGTTCCGGGACAACAGGACTCCACAAAGTTAGCCAAGCTGAAATCGCATAGGTGGCAAGCACCACGCAAATTCGTTCCATTTGGGAAGCGAATCTGGACTTGAATTTAATCGGTCGACCTCTGGGAAAAAAAAACTTGTCCAATTTTTTAGTTACACTGCAGAACAGCCACAGATTTGTGGAAATGGTTCTGTTTGTTGTGGACGGACAGGTTTTTCACCAGAGTCAAGCTTGATTTTTTGACATGACTCCTGAAAAGCACCCCTTTGCTGCACCCAGTCCAAGCGAGGCGGAACTGTTGCTTCGTTGTATGGCTGAGCACAAAGCATCCATCCCAGGCACAGTGCATTCTCCGGGGCAGATCTATCTGTGTTGGCGCGGTATCATCCACTGAACTTTCTACCACGAATCTTGCGTCTTGTTAAGGCAACACGGTCAATTGCGGAAACCACTTCATTCAAAGCAGCTTGAGTGTTTCATCAACTAGATCTTAGATCGCACACAATAGATCAGAATGGAACTTATGCATCAGGTTTCATCATCCACGAAGGGAGCTAAAAGATTGGGAGACGAAATTACCAAGATTACTAAAGTTTGAGTCCGGATATGATTGTCATGGCAAAAAGATAGCTTGAAAAGACAGCCCGCGCCTCTTGTAGGCGATCGCGCCATGAGTGCATTGCTATGGACCTTCGGCTTCCTGGCGAGCATGGGATGTGGGGATGTGGGGGGGGGGGGCAACATTTGAAAGTCCCTGTGAAGAGAAGCAACCCAGTCATGCCCAGTCGACTCAAATCCTAGAATGAAGTTTATACAATTTATATCAGCTTCAGTCAGACACCTCCAGATCTTGAAGATGGACTTGGGTAAATGATGGTGCACAGGCATTGCGGTTTTTGCTGGCAATGGTCAGCTGACAGTTGGAACAGTACTCGTCACGCCAAACCAGGTGAAAAGCGCTTAGAGAGATTGCTGCGCAACTTGTGGTTGAAGGTGGGCAGGGCCCTTAGTACTTTGAGACAAGAAGAGTGTTTTAGAGTTTTCCTGCCGATGTGAAGGAAACCTCGTGTGCGCAAGATCTTGATGTTTGGGAAAAACCAAGTCACCAATGATGGGAAGGTGTCTGGTTTGGATCTGTCACTGCTTCTTCATGACCTCCAGCCGAGGCGAAACGCCTTCTGCTTCGCAGGAGGTGCTTGGAGTCGTTTTTGTTCAAACCATCAAGTCTCAGTCCTGGCATTCGGCCTAAATGGTTATTGAATCTTATTGATACATGTGATCATTAAGTAGATATAAGTAAATTAGAAGACATGCGATGGACCAATGGTGGTCATAAATGTGCTGCAAGCCTTCCCAGATTCAGATTTTTGGCAGGAGCCTGGTGAGCCATGCTGGTCGGATTTACAGAGGTCGGCCTTGCAACCACCGCAAGACGGACATCGTGCCATGTTGAAGAGAATTTGGAGTCCACGAACCGGACCTGAAGCTGCTGCCACGGCTGCTTACCGCCGCATGCCGAAAGGACATCCTGCAAAGTGAGGAAAGGTGATGCAAAGTGCTACGTCCCTTAAGTTTCAGCGCTGCAAAGGTAGTTGCACGATGATTAGAGCTGCAGGATCTCCATGTTTTTTCATGTGTCGAACAAGTGCACATTTGAGGAACTTGATTCTGACCAGACCCCTGCACCTGTGTGGTCTCGGGGTTGGCTACTGGGCCCAAAGAGTCTCGGCCTGAGCCAAGAAAAAAGAGAAAAGGCGAAAAGCCGGAGGAAGCACATGAGTCAACCTTTGGGGCCATCCGCGTCACTTGGTGCAAACAGCTGGAGTTGCAAATAGCGATGTTTTAAACTGGCCAAACTGCAAGGAATCCATAAAGGTTGATGTTTGATACGGTTGCTATCATATATCAAATAGAAGCTGGTCACTATAATAATCTATAATAACCTATAATATATCAAACCATTTGGCAAATAAGCTAGTTGATTAAACATTACCATTTGGTAATGAGTTACATGGATAGAATCACCATTTTGTTTCATAGGTTTTAATTATCGAACTAAACGAGTCATTTTCAAAGTTTTCCATGTAACTGTTTACCAGATGGTAACCATATATCAAACTCTAGCTGCCTTAAGTCCCAATCCATTCCAACTGAAGTGGTGGAGACGAGAGATGATATTGATATGTTCAATTCTGACACTGACATTGAATGAAGTACTTTGAAGTCCCAATATTTTGCGGGTGCATTGCCAACCAGATGTACAGCACGTCGCGCTGTAGACCTTCCACCGGAGTACATGATGTTTGATTGTGGGGCCAACGGGGTGAATGACAGTTTCAACAAGATCTCACAGGTGGAACCCAAAACGGGCTCTGCAGCATTTGCATTCTAAAATGATTTAATGTCAACAGCTGTTGGGAGAACCAAGTGACCATCATGAGCCACTTAGAAGTTTCAAAAGTTTCACAATGAAAGATCCCATGAACATCCGTGTTTTTTTGCCCGCAAAATTCACAGAAGACCAAATCCTTGGAGCTTTGATAATGGCATCTGAGAGCTATCACCAGAGAGGCGAGGGCCTTTTCCCAAGCTGTCCAGGTGAGATCCAAGAGGAGAATGACTTGGAAAAACAGGCCCCTGCCAAGGGCAATGAAACCGTGACTTGCACCGTTTGGAACGATCTGCAGGTGGCAACTGAAGCCAAGCTTGGTCAACTGAGTGAATGGCAGACAGTGTATCCGGAGGCGCAACTGAAGATGGCAGTGGCTGTGGATTCCATGGATGTCCAACCTCAACTGTCGGTTCGACTGAGGGATGACCCCAATCTCTCTGGCATGTGCACAGCTGTGCAAGGATCCACTTTACAGCTGTCAAATGGTTTTGGCGACTTTGGAGATAGGGCTAAAAAGCACTTCCAAGCGGAAGAAATCACAGCTGAAGAGGAAAGCCGCCTGCGCAAGCAGCGGCAGAAAGAGATGGATCAAAAATTGGGTGCTGAAGTAACTCAAGCCATCCTCTGGCGGCAGAAGTGGGCGATAATCTCCTTCTTTCTCTGTTTGTTGATCATCCTGACAGCCATGATCTTCGGAACCGTGGCTTCTTTCCATCTGCTGACGGAGCTCCAAGAGGTTGCCCTGGCAGTGGCACTGCTGATGCTGATGCTCTATGGCTGCGTTGGCGGCGGAGTGGCTGGACTCGGTGCCGCTACAGGAGGCGGTTTTGTTGAGGAACTGCGGGGCTCGGTCCAGGCCGCGCGGCCCGAGCTGCAACGCTACGATGACCAGGGAGTCATCGCCGTCGCAGGAAGCGACGACGACGACTGGAGAAGTCGGACGTCCATGAGCTGCATCGGCTGCGCTCCATGGATTTCCCTCGGCTGTGTGGTGGCCACAACCGTAGCCTATAGCAACGGTCACCTGTCGGGTGTTCTGTGGGGCCTGGAGATCTTGGCACTGTGCTGCGGTGGCGTCTACGGGTGGATCATAAAGGATCCGGATGGAAGTTTGGAAAGGAAAGTTCTAATTGTTCTGCTTTCTGCCTTGTTTTTCCCCTTCTTTTGGCCACTTGTTCTCCTTGACAAATGTGGCTTTCAACATCGTCTCGCGGAGCTTTTCCTGAAGCCGCCGAAAGCAACCCTTGACGCGGCCGTCCACACCACCCGTGAACACACCATTGTCTTCGAGGGCAACGTGCTCCCAAAGCGGGAGACTGTGTGCTCATGGCCAGGTAAATATGAGACAGCCTGGAGTGAACTGGTAGCTGGCAGCCGACAAGACGACATCAGTGCAGCTGTGGTGTTTCTGCCCGAAGGGTCCGAGCACTACGGGTTTCACGATCCAATTCCTGTGAAGCATGACTTGCGTGACTTGCGTGGCGAGTGCTGGTGCATTCCTCTCTACGGCGAACGCAAGCCATGGGGCTGCAGATGGTGGTCCAAATGGATTGCCAACATCGAGCTGGCAGTTTCACAAGAATGCACCCTTGTAGTGTACTATTTCAACGGCATGAAAGGCCTGGGCAAAGTCAAAGACTTCACCACAGCCGGGAAGGAACATAGGCACCGTGAGGCCATTTTCCGGTACAAGGATGCCTTCCTCAAGTCCAAAAATTTTCAAGATGCTCTGGAGGCCGGCCTGAAACACCTCTCGAAAGAACAAGGTCCAGACTCCTCCTCGCCCTACTCCAGGGAGGTGCATCGCCTGTTTTTGGCTAGCCTTCCAGAGGAAGCCCGCCAGTTCTTGCAGGCATCCGAAGGCCTTGGGAATTCGCAAAAAGCAGAAGTTGCATGGCTGGAACGAAACGGTTACCCTTACATAGAAAAAGAAGTTTGGGAACTTGAAAGCTCATCGCCCAAGGCGATAGGGCAGGCAGACGGGTAGCCGGACATTTGCGAACTTGTGATTCCAACCTTGCTGCCATCCTGTTTGGGATTTTTTTCAGATTTATCATCATTTACAAGAATTCCAGTTGCGAAGCCAAAACTTCAAATTGTTTAGCCGGTGTGCAATCGACCCAGCTCGAAGCAAAAAAAAAAGTTTCTGAATGCGTCAATATGCTGGTTTTGACCATTTTAGTGGCGACCGGGAACGAGCAACACAATCTGTTGCGGCGGAACCCCTGCAAGTTCATAATGATCCTTTTGCAACGAAACCAGCTGGAATATCATGGATGATCTTGACATATCTTGGCCATGTTGATATTGCGTTGTTATTTTGAGGTGTTCGCGCTGCCTTGTTTTCCCATATGAAACATCACCTTTTCGAACATGTGTATGGAATGGAACTGGATGGTGTTTCATGACTTGGAGACTTGGAGACTGTCAAAATTGCACAGCCGACGTAATGTAACATTGAAACTAGCAATTCCAACCGGGAGGCGTACTGTAGCATTTCAAAACCATTGTAAGGTGGGTGGTTTCAATTGGTGATGTTCCATCTCTTTCATGGGTTGATTGCCAAAATCTAGCGACACCTGCACCATTTTCTGAAAGCGATGTCGAGTTGAGGTAGCATCAAGCCCACATGAATTTCAATGGAATTTGAAGATCCCACCCAACTATCATGATTGCGACGGTAAACAGTCCACAAAAGCATGGAATTCCAAACTGGATCAATTTGTTGAAACTGAAGTTCTCAACAATTTGTAAGTTTCTATATATATATATATTGATCCTATCTTATCGAATTCTGGGTTTGCCCAAGTGTCTCCAATGATGACCAAGAGCATCCCGTCGCCATGCTCTGGATCAGCTGAGAATGACTTTGACAGAAAAGTTGGGGAGAAAACGAAATTCATATAGATGAATGTACAAGAAATGCATTAAATAATGTAAGCTGACGTCAGCTGTACATATTAGTTCGCTTAAAGATAAATCAGGAATAGCAGAAGCCTTACCTGAACCACTGACCAGACACTTTGTCAGACACACACACACACACATTTATATATATATAATACATTATCATACCACGTGCAGCATATCTGCGGTTTCGTCATGGAGGAGGAAGAGCTGAAGGCAAAGGGAGTTCCATTCAACCTGATTCAACCTGTTTTGTTTGATGGTTGCCTTGTTGTATCCCGGGTTCAAGTCAGCACTCGCTTCTTGACAACGTTGAAGGGTCCACATTCACCATGTGAGTGTCTTACCCACTATGCTCAGTCACCAGCCTTCAAGCATGATTCGACCATTTTAGTATTAAAATCCATGATTTTGCGGTACCCCATGGTACCCCCCATTTAGGAAACCTCAAGCCGCCTGAGCCGCGCTCCAGGCTGAGATTCGGCGTTTGGAGCAGCAGCAGCTTGCGCAAATGCGTCAAGGTTTGCTGCAGATCCGCTGGCGCCTAGATGCCAATTTCAATCCATTGACAAACTATATGGGTGGTTCTATAAACGGTAGGTACCCCAATGTATGGATGGTTTAAAGGGGGAAATCTCATGAAAATAGTTTGAAATAGATGATTTGGGGGTACCCCCATTTCAGGAAACCTCTCTATGGGGATGGGTTCAAAACATTTCCAAACCCATTACCAAATTGCAGGGAATAAACATCTACTATTCAGCCATTTTAGGGCACCTAGGCTGCCAGGGTTTTGACTCATAGCCTATTTTATAATAAATAGATAAATCAATCAATATATATATATACATATGATTTATTTATGTATTTATTCATTTATTTAGAGCACCATAGTGAAACTTGGCTAATCCTGAAATGCAGGACCAGCGAAAATACCAAGTTGGATTTGGTCTTTGCCTGTTTTTGGAGCAAGTAGTTTACGTGCTAGTCATATCATGTTGTATCACATAAGAATACATAAGATATAGTGTGCAAGTATATCGCAGTCATCCTTGCCAGCCTTTGCATGTGGGGAAAGTATGGGAAAATGCCATGGGAGAGCTGCCCCATCACTGCTGGTTGATGTCATCTCATGTTTTCATGGTCGAGATTACCAATCTCTTGATGATACACGACACTGATTGTTGGAAATTGTTGGTTGATGTTCACTGAAATGCTCTTAAGAGTGGTCTGTATTTTT